CAGGGAATGATAATCTGTGTTTTTGGAGAAGAGCCAACCAAGAAGCCATTTTCAACACTGTACTCACTGTACCACTGTTAGAGAAGGCGGTACTTTATATTGAAGCACAATCTCTTGAATAAAACTGATCTGCAGTATTAAAGGAAACAGGAATAGTTTTTTGTCTTTAGAGTGAAAGACTTATTTTGCTGTTGAGTGAAAAACTAATATGTGCAGAATAAGACTCATGATATAACACCACCAAAAATTTTTTTTGACTGGTTCAGCAAAACCAAACTACCCAGCTACAAAGAGATCTCTTGTTTTGATCTTGATGTAGAACTACTACTCTCCTGCTTTGAAAGGAGACAGTTTAGGTGCTTTGGGTGTCTTAAAGATGTGTCCTGGTTGCTCTCCTACAGAGGTTTTTAGGGCACATCCAAGTGGGAGAAGAACACGCCGGCAGGATTACATATCCCATTTTGCCTTGGGATCCCCCATCGCTGGTGAGAAAGATGTCTGGGCTACCTTGTTTAGCCTTCTACGGCCGCGATCCAGACCCAGATAAACAACCAAAAATGGATGGATGGATGGACTATGATTACCCTGACCATGGCATGATACACACAGAACAAAACGCTCCTTATCGTACTCTTACTTAAAGCAAATTACTGCTTGAACATGTACAGCGGACATTTCTTCTTAAAAAACAACTCTGGACTCTCGTTCAGAAATTGCTGACATATTTATAAACTGAAACCGAAATGTCTGTCACTTTCTGTGTTTTCGTTCTCTTTCTATCACATTACACTGCAGCATTTTATTTTCCCTCACATCTCCACTTTCCCAGGTTGCTTGGTGATTGGGATAGACCAGAGAGCTTATGTACAGGATGTCTTATCTCTCTTTGAAGCCCTTTTTTATCTGGTGCTGTATGATGCAACTGGTGATATAAGGTCTATTAGAGGGCTGTTAGAGCAGAATGGAGTGATGATCTGGCCTTTACTGTAGTCTCCCTGTAAACACAATTTCAGAAATACTGATATTATGCAAAGTGCCATAAACTGCTCCATCTTAAGTAGAGAAATAAACAAAGTAAGCATGCCCATTTATCCCTCATAAGGGCTGAGGCAGCAAGTGATGGAGGATTTGCCATAAATCAGACGGTTGATTTTAGCATGCATCAGCAGGTTCAACCTCATAGACCCTTTCCTTAAGTTGCTGACCAGTGTGTTTAGGTATGATGCAGCAAAGCATTTTACCTTGAGCCATGTAATGTGATGTAAGAGGTTCAGAAGTTCTGTAATATCCTGATTTTTATTTCAACCCACTTTAATATTAAGAAAGCTACTTTCTAATTAGGAACAAAAATCTTAGTTATATACTTAATATATACAAATACAAAAGAAAATATTAGTCCAAGTCAGTTAACAGTCACTATAAACAAAGTGCAATCCATTCAATCTGAAAGTGATACAGAGCTACGTTTTATATTTAAATATCATTACAGATTACTTAAATTAGCATTTTCGAGGGACCTAATTTGTAATGCTGGCATTCACACACTGAAGCCACATGAGGAGAGTAGGCCTACATTATTCATGAAGGAAAATGCTGTAGCAAGCTGTGAGAGTAATTTGATGATGATGATGATACCTTTATTGTCCCCTGGGAGAAATTAATTGCGTGTGACAGGTTGTCAGTTGACATTAAAAAACAAACAACAGTATAACAACACATGCACCTACAATGAGCCATACAAGTAATTCATAGACATAATATAACTGAGCGCTAGAATATATCTCCAGCTTGATTTGAGACTGAGGCACCCTGTACAGCCTACAGCAGCTCATATTTTCTCTTTAAAGAATGTGCTGGGTCATTCACAATAATGAATCCCCTCTTAATTGCCTACGTATTATATACTATAGTTGCCACTGTGCTTAGACACGCCCACGGGATTTTACTGGCCGTCCCAATTTTATTTCTCTTATTTTTGTTGCTTACCGTAAGGGGAGTGAAACCGTGCAGCAAGGCAGAATGTTATACAAATGAGCAATAAAACAACATCATTATATCTCCCTTGGCTCTAAATTGTAACCCTCCCTCAATGTTTATTTCTGTCCTCCTCCTTTTTGTCAGGGGGGTTAGCTTACAGAGTCTCTCCCTCAGTCTGTTTAAGGAGTGAATAAAATTGGTGAATTAGCAGATAAGAAAGAGGGACACAGTAGCAATCGCTCTAAAATGTAAAAAGCACATAAGTTTGAGTGATCATCATGATACATTTTGTTCAACATACACTAGCCTATACATTAAGGTATGTTCTATACACTTCCCCCTCAAACTGCATAAACCATGATGAAAATATGAAATAACATCATTTAAGATTGCTGTCTCCAGACATCGTAGCAAAGATTCAAGCAATTCATTACAAGTAACTAGGAATAGTCAGACCAGTTAAATTAGGTTTGTTTGTATATGAGATGGATATAATACAAGATGTTTTCCATTCTTTGTGAGCATATATTTCTCATGTTATCACAAGAGCTGAAACGTTTAGTCCATTAATCAGTTATTTGATTGGAAAGAAATTAATTGGTAGCTATTTTTTTTATCATTGATTCATTGCTTCCGGAATTTTTCAAGCAAAAATGTACCATTCCCTGGTTCCAGATTCTCAGTTGGGAGGATTTGCTGCCTTTGTGTTTCACATATGTATGATAGTTAATAGCGATGGTAAGATTCACCGATTCACATTGATGCACTGGGATACAAAAAAAAGTTTTTGGGTTGAAACAATCTGGGTTGAAATCGGCATGCATCTTTTCTAACACATTTGCATCTGTAAAATCCGATTTATTTATTATTATTAAATGAGGCCCTATGCCTTTATTATTTAGAAATTTAGAAACCGTTCATTTGAGGGTTTTTTGTTTGTCAGACAAAACAACCACTTTGAACACTTTCACTAATTTCTAGCATTTTATTAACAAAACAATACATTGTTATATAAATAATTGGTTGTAACTCAAAACTGTCCACACACGTTACAGAGCCCGATCCGTCTTCTTCCGCGTTGTAGGGACGCATAGCCTGTGACGTAAGCACGTTGTGTCACACTAAAAAGAATCTGTGCAAAACATGAGCTTTACGAGGCTTCGAGGCAGACGAAATTCCTCGATCATTCTTTGTAATCGAGTTACTCGAGGTACTTGAGGAATCGTTGCAGCCCTAAACTCCAGTCATGACATTTTAAGGACATGTTGAAACACAGGATTCCAACACTCCATCAAAACAATTCCCCTTTAATCCCACTGGGACTGGCTGATTTTTATCCCCTTAAAAGATTGGGTTACCTAATCCAAATGCAGATCAGTAGCAAATGGCAGACAGTCATTTGATTTGTGTCAGTATTAAACAAAACAAATATTAAATAGTGTATGCATGAGATGTCACACAGCTAGTAACCAATCATGCAGAATTTTCTTTATAACTATATATAATATAACTATTGGTACAACTCTTTCCACAGACAAGCAGAATTTGAAGTTCTTTTGATTTTAGATCAGGGTGACAAATACTGCTTTTAAAATGGATCAAGTATGTGTATGCCTTCAAGTTTTGTTGTCGTAATCCTGGTACAGAAATGAATACTACAGAATGTGTCAGTAAACATTTGTATAGCATCTCTTTCCATTCATAGCAACCACTTTCAGGTTTGCTTGGTCACCACTGGCATCAATTCATACTTTCAATGTATTTCCCTCCATCATTTTATTCTATATAATTGCATGTCATTTATTCATCAGTTTCACCAAGAGAAAGGATGAAAAAGAGGTTGATGATTAAATTGAAGAGAAAAAGCAGTAATTAGCAGTTAATTTAAGGTGGTTGTCATTATTAGTCATGAGACTTCCACTTCAGCTGTAAGCCCGTATGTTGATCACTAAATCACACAAATCTCACATACTCACCTTAATATTTAGCAATACCTATTTGAATTGAGTCAAACGTGTGTTGTTACAACATCAACAAACACACTTTGGCATCTGTAAAATCCGATTTGTGCTTGTATAGTACGTGGTTATATGGCAGAATGCCAGACTTAGGTGTGCTGACCTGTTTTTGCAGGTTGTTGTTGACATAGACAGACAAAAATGTAATTGTGTGCCTGTATGTAATATGATCTACATGTGCATGAGTGTACATTCTGGCTGCATTTGTGTGTTAGCATAGCAAGGGCATCTCTTTCAGTATATGTGTGCATTTGCTTGTATGTATAAAAGGCTGCAGTACATTAGGAGAGGGTGAAGGCATCAACAATATCTGCCAATGGTGGGAAAGCAGCTATTGGTGGGTTCCCAATTGTAGACAGAGTCATGGAGAATAAGCTGCTACGATTAGGGAGAGCTCCGGTCTGGTATCTTTGTTTGTTGTGGAGCTTAAGTTCTTAAGAGAGTACTGCTTAGAGGTAAGGCCTCAGAGTTGCATTCCTTCCTCTACCTTTTTTTTTTCATGCCATCCTCCCCCTCCATCGCATTTTCCATTTTAATTCCTCATAGAAAGGAGGAGTGAAAAGACGTGATAGGGTTCTAATCCATGCCAGAAAACAAGGACGACGTTTTTTAGTTTGTGGTAAAGCGGGATGTGGCACTACAACTCTTTGCGTCACTGCTTTCTGGTTTGATGCATTCATTGTGAAATTGCCCATAAAACAAGTGTGTTTACTGTGGAGAGGGCACTTGTACACACACCATATTTCCCTGTTGATGTCTTTCTCTCTCATTATGCATCCACTCTCACACAAACAGAAATACACTCACAAAGACATGCAAACGTGCAAATCTCCTGCACACAGATCCATCATGAAAGGAGCAAAAATGCAGATACAACACAACTATGCACATGTCCGTGTAAAATACACACTAAGAATCTGCACGCTCACGCGCACGCTCTCCTATCTGGGGCTAGTGATAAAAAGCCATCATTATCTTGCTATGGCTGTAATGAGAAGCACACACCTGTTTTCCACAGCTGTTCCCGATCACAAGCTGTCGTCCTTCACTCTAGGACCAGACGCTTTGGAGGTGATGACTATGTGATGCTATAAATCACCTGCTGAGAATCTAGTCACCACGGGAACAAGCCTCATTAGAACCAGATAACCGAAGAGGGTTGTCCTTTACCCCTGCGAAATGGGCCTTAGTCACTGTGGCTTTCAGCCTAGCCTTTGGAACTGAATGCATGTTGGAGAAGTATAGCATGAGCTCATCATGGGTGCAATCAAAGGCCCAGTGTTGCCCGGCTTCATGAGTCATGGAGCTTTTGCAGAGGTCACACATGGGCTTATGAGAAACTGATATATTCTCACTATTTTCTCAGTGCAGTCAAGCATACACTTGAATTCATAACACATTCACACAAAGAGTTCAGTTTCTGTGATTCTGTGTCGTTGCTATTTTCCATTTTATTTAGCAGTCAAAGTAATACACAGGCCTGTCTTGCCTCATTGAGGAATGGGTTTAAGAACCAGTGTATCCCTAATGTCTTTAAAGCTGGTGTCTTTGCTGCTTGTAAAACCTACTACCTCTCTATAAATGTCACCACTGACAATTCGCGGATGGATGATGTGACGTCTCCACTAGCGTTCTTCCATTAAAAGGCTTTTTGCCCCCTCGAACAAATCAACTCAACAACATTCCTGAATAATGACTGCCAGAGTGGACTCTGATGGTTATGAAAGAGTTCTTGGTGTTTCATTTATGTCTTTTTTTTGGTCATTTGTTACCAGAATCAATAATGCACGATTATAAGACAGTAAACCCACTAGAGTGTCAATAAATATAGTATAATTTAATGAAACAAAACAATAATACTGTAGCTAACTATCCTGAAAAAAATTATTGAGTCTGTATAAACATGTAACAAAATTATTTGTTTTTAATAGCAAAGCCCTGGATTTATATTCTATTTGGATGTGTAAGTCACTTGCTCTAAATTGTGAGAGACTCTTTCCTAGCTTTAGTAGTGATATATTACAGTTGGTGCTGAGGAGTAGTTTTGAATGTAAATTTAATGGCCAGAAATGTGGACTCTCCTGGCGGCCAGCCAACTGAGCAAGGGAGTCATTTTCCATATGCCTGTCTGCCTGTATTTTCTTTCAGTCTGCCTTTTTGATTGTCACTCCATGCATTCACCTTGGTTGGTCTGCCTGCTTGACATTTAGACTGAATGTGTTGTCAACCTGTCTGACCAAGAGAGAAAAAAGAGAAAGAAAAGAAAGATGGAGGAACTGCAGACAGATGGGGGATGGGGATGGATTGGGAGTTGACAGATGGAGTTTAAAAGGGAGAGGTAAAGTGATGTGTTGTGGTATTGTCACAGTGACAGAATTTAGACTTTGAATTTTAGATGTAGGCAATAAGGAAAAAAACCTCCATGGCGGTATATTACATTTTATATCATGATATATGTAGTAATATAATACATTTTCTATGAATTAATTTTGGAATTTGTAATGCAGAAAATAAATACCTGACAAATAAAACTACCTCATCGTATTGATGCAAAAATCATATAAAATCATATTAATCAATATTAAAATTCAACATAATATCTTAGTGAACATAGTAGTAGCATCTCACAATATATATCTTGTCATATCACACATCTCAGTTGAACTCTAAAAATACAAATGAAAAACATTCACAGACTGTCACTCAGCAGTGGGTCTGTGAGATGCTTTGCTAAGTGGAGGGCAACATATGTAATGTAATCTGTCACTATGATCACATTTGGTCATATTCTCAATCTCATATCACCCCTTACCAGTTCTTTTGACATCTGTGACACCGTTATAATTTTGCAGGTATTTTTGTTGAGGAGGAGGACTCTGCATTTCAATAACAATGGGTGAAGGGTGTGGGGAGAGATGAGAGGGGAGTTGAATATGGGAGGCTTGACTCAGATCAATAGGCTTGCATTGGGATGGAGAAAAAAAACAAATAAAGAGAGAGCAGTTTTCTCACCACTGCAGTATATTGATATACACTCCCAGTCTTTGTCATTACTCTGGTGTGTGTGTGTGTGTGTGTGTGTGTGTGTGTGTGTGTGTGTGTGTGTGTGTGTGTGTGTCCACTAAGCAGTGGGGGGAGAAGGGGTTTCAGGAGTCATACACAATGCGCCCCAAAGCTTGTTTAAGCACAAATTACATCTCACTGCAGTCAATAGATTGTCCTGATAACTTCTGTCTCTCTCTGTCTCCCCACCTTCTCTCCCCCCTCCATCTCTCTATCTCCCTCCATCTCTATTCTCTTTCTAGGTAAGTAACAAAACAGCAGAGATTTTATCTGAACATAAGATGCCTCAAAAGGTATGGAATCATTATTGGTTTTTCTGAATAGTATATTTTTATGGCAATCACAAACTTGAAGACTCAACCCCAGTGATATTATAAAACCATCTTCAGCATCACTTTACATGTATAAGATGAGTTAGTACTAATAATCTGGTGTATGTACTTAATAAGTACATCTTTCATGGCTGTAAGCAGTGATCGGTTAGACATGATAGTAACGAATAATAATAAAAACACATAATAAATAATCTTCTTAGAATGTAGCGGCAGCAGCCATATACTAAAATCCCATCTTATTTGTAAGGTTGCCTGTCTGTATAATGGGACTGACATGAGCAGTATGTGTCTGCACTGCTTTCACCTAATGGCGGTGTTGTGTTTTGCTGCTAATCTGTTTATCTAATCAGATGCTGAGGTTAGGGGGTCTATCTCATTAACTTGCAGAATATTGATTTCCTGTGTTTAGAGCAAAGCACTCTGCTGCAGCCCGCTTCTACCTTCCCAGATGGGAGGAATGCAGGTTACTTCCCTCGTAGCTCATCAATCGATCCCGCCTCAGCTCAGGGTTGTTATGCTGTGAGTTTGTGTGCCTGCAGTCATGCCTTGGTGTAAAAATAGCTTTCAAAGCAGATTGATTGCTACAGAGGCACGTTTTATGTTTAGAGATGGCTTGAGAGAAAGTCGGAGAGATGGATGGTGTTCAAAAAGATATTAGTATCGTTTTAGCACTGTTCTTTAGATGATTATCTATTCTCTGATGCATTTCTGATTGATGAAAAATAGTCTAATACAACATGAGCTGCTGAGGCTTTGAAGTTATATGTTGCAATCAATAGCCTTCCAAAAGTTCTAGTAAGGAAGAGTCTCATATACAAATTCTTACATCAATGTTTAGAATTAACTTTTTTGAAATATGTGTCTTCATCCATGGTTGTCATAGGAGCATGTAATCAGTAGGTGGATAGGAAGCTTGATATAATCTTTGTAGCAAAATTTGCAACTATATATTAATAAAAGTTTAAAGTTAGTACAACCAGGCATCCATCTCTGCAGAAATTCAAAATCCAGGACTAGACATCCAGCACTTGAGCTGAACTTAACCTAATCTCACCCTTCAGCATCACTCAGACTGCATACAGAGATCAGAATCTCAGTTTAGCACTGAAAGAGTAGGCCACTTATCATTTCACCAGACTCTTAAATATTCATTTGAGTCACGACAGTGGTGCTATAACTCTGTAAATAGTTGATAGATTAAATTGATTGTACATGTTGCATTTCTGCTCTTCTGCTGCTAGGGAGTGTTGCAATGAATGTATCGTCACTTCTGCTGCCATCGGCTAGAATATGATAAATGTGTGGGAGTGGCTTCTCTTGTAGGGAGCACATCAATGTGAATGTGTGCCATTTGCTGCATTGAGGGTGGTGTGTGAGTGTGTGTGAATGTGTGATAGTGTGTGTGTGAGGGCAATGCGTCATTCTGCGACTTGCAGAAGCCCAGGAGCTCCCCTTTGGTAGCTCCCATGCTGCTTCTATCCGTTATGTAACTATGCTGTTCTCACACTATTGCCCTTTGTCTCACTCTTTCTCTCTTTTTCTCCTCATCCCTCTCTACTTTTTTGTTTTTGTGTATGTATGTGCAGAGTGTTGCAATTTTTTGAGTTGTTTTTGGGTGGGATTTAGGGGATCTTTTGTGCTGATGCTGTGCTCGGAAGTGTGTGCCACAGTGCAGCAGACAGCAACTTGTAGAGGTGTCCAATCAGTATTCTGTTTGTTATGCATTTTCTTTTTTGTCTCTGCTTTGCTCGCTTCACCTCTTTTTGTCTGTGTTTTCTGTGCCTTGCTTATAGTATAACTGTATTCTTTCTGTCTGTGTATCCAAGCACCCATCCCCACCCACTCATTCTCTGCAGCATACTTTCCTGTGATACAGCTGGAGCTGGAGCCACAGTTGGAGAAAAACGTTTTTTTTTACGAGTACTCCCTTTATACTCATCACTTATAAGGGAATTCAGTTATATACACCAGGGAGTTATTTTCTCTCTTATAAAGAAAAATAGATAGAGTGAGTGTTTTGGAGAGGAGGTAGGAGGGAGAGAATTAATTTATTCTGTAATATTGAGGAAAAAGAGTATACAAATGTATACTTGATCAATTTAATCTGCATGCTACTTTAAGATGTATTTAATTAATCAAAAATAGTTAAATGGCATCTGTCTGTTAATTTTTCTTCTTTTACACAATGGCTGACTGGATGATGTCTGCACCAGGCAAAGCTTGGACAATAGGTGACCCACTGTACATAACTCTGCCATGAGAAGCAGCTGTTTTTACTGTCAGTGGGAGCAGGTGCTTGTCACCATGGCATACCCATTACCTTTGTGGACAATTTTAATGATAGCCGTAACATGATACTTTGTTGATCTCTGTGGGGAAGCTCACTATTTCTATGCTCCCTTCACAGTAGAAGTCACTGTAGGGTCACATACACAGCAGCACACCTGCAGCTGACAATGTGGTGCGTACAAAGGAAAAATCCTCTTTAAAACGGTTATCTATTGGAAATACCTGGCAAAGTGTTGATTGTATGAAGTTATCATAACACCTGTATTTGCTAGTCAGGGTTCAAGGACTGTACATGTCAGTGTCCTGGATCACCATTCCCCTTAACTTGGATTTCGGTCACTGAGCAGCTCATACATTTTGTGCTTTAAGAAATAGTAAAAAACACATCAGCTGCTAAGTAACAAAAATCATTATGTTCTCCAACCAACACTGGAGTGCACTGGCAGCACTAAACGCACTTCTTCTGAACAAGACTCTATG